TTCAAAAGTTAATAAAATTGTTTGTGGAATAAAAATGGATTTGGAGGCCAAATGATGAACTATGCGACCGCATAGTTCAATTTGGCATGCGGTTGCATAGCCTTATACCGGGGCTAAAGGCCTCGTGACTGCTTTAACTATGCGGTCGCATAGGTTTGGCCTATGTGACCGCATAGAGATAAAAAATAGTCGTTTTATGGCCGTTGCTATTTGAATTTTGGTGGCTTTTTATCTGATTGTGGCACCATTTCGTGGAAGACTATTGATGCCTATATATAAGTGACCAATGTTCAAAGGCAAGATGATGAAAATCATTCTTAGAAACATATTTTATTTCACACATCATTGAAATCAAAGATCCCTTCTTACATATTCAGCATTTCCATTTTTTGTGTTCTTCAAGGTTTTGAAGGATTTTCACTAGTGTTTAAGTGTTAAATCATTTACAATGCTTGATTAATCCTGCAAACCATTTGTCATAATCCCTTTAAGCATCATTTTTAATTCGAGAGGAGACAAATATAGTTTGAAGACAACGTTTTCGCGTTCGGGCCTTATTTTCTCTTCTTTGATCTTCATTTTGTTTTTCTCTATTTTTTCTGGCTTTTTGTTCTTTGCTTTCATCTCCAATCCCTCATTGTGGAAGCAATTATTGACAACAAAACACGGATCCAAAAGGATTAGGGCTCAATTTTGCCTACACTATAGTCGACCCTCAACCACATGCCTAGTTTCCTTCCCACCACGAAGAAATACAATCCTTGCAACCACAAGGAAATTAGCACTATTATCATGCACAAATAATGAAGGAAGAACAAAAACCTCAAACACAGAATTAACCAGTAAGCAGAAGAGAGGAAGAAGAAGAAGATATGACAAGAGAGAAATCGAAAGAATTAGAGCGAAGTGAGAAAAATGGCTAGGGTTCCCTCCTTTTATATGAGGACCCAAAACCATTGGTTCAAGGACCACGATTAATCCTCAAGTGTAGAGTAAGTCATTTCAAAAAACCTATAACCGTTGTCACACCTCAAAATGACACTTTCTACTTGGGCCAGGTCAAAAGATCAATTTTGGTTTGAAATGCTTGGTATTATAAACTCTTCAATTTTGGACCAAATGCTTTGAAGTCCAATAAAGATACATCATTGCCTTAAGATTGTTTGGCAACAAGACCCCTTGGTAATTATGTTGAAGCAAAGGGTTAAGGGTCATTTTTCTTAAGGATCCTGATGAAACTGAGTGCAGGTCTCTTGGTAGACATTGCTGTGATTCAAAGAGGCTATGTAATCTGAGTCCAATAGTAGAAGCCGTGTGGACTTTGAATAAGGAGTTCAAGGTTCAAGACCAGTTGAAGGTTCTTGGTGTTTAAACGCAAAATCCTTGTTGTTTTGGCTATCATTGTAATTATTGTGGGTTAACTTAAATCCAAAACATTGTTAAGGTGGCAACCACAGTTCGTAACTTATTTCATCCAAAACACTGTTAAGGTGGCAAACACAGTTCGTAACTTATTTCCTCTAGCCATTTGCTACAGAAAATTAAAGAATGCATTTAAAAACTTATAAGAAAACATACTAAACTGATCCTCAAGAATTTTTCCTTCAAAATCACACTTTGCCTTGTTTTTAAGGGAAGATTATTTTCCTTCTCAAAACTAAAATTTGCTCAAGAGTTAATCCAAAAGCCTTTTGCAGAAGCTCATCATTGATTCCAGAACCAAAAATAACATTTGGGATTCTGTGGGTTCCAGGATTTTGGCTGTTAAAACTTCCAAAAATTGTTGCAGAAGATTTGCCAACATTCATCTGGAAATGCACTAGACCTCTGGGAAACACCATCACCTCTCCTTGTTCAATAATTTTGGCAAAAACCTTGTTCGTCGAATCCACAAAACCGGAATAAACTTTTCCTTGCACCACGTATGCAATTTCTGTGGCTCTTGGGTGGAAATGCGGCGCGTTAATGCCACCAACCTGTTGAAGACAAAATATAAATAAATATATGTAGCCTTCTTCCTACAGTTTAAGAATTTAGATTAGATGTTTTAATGTGACAAGCAAAAAGCTTTGATTCAAGTCTTGTGGTCACGTTTTTATAAAAGTGTGCATGTGTGTCAAACATTTAATTATAAAAAATAATTATGCATGCACGGAGATATGTTGGAAACAAAATTTAAATAAATGCACTTTGTACCTTGAGGTCTGCGCGTACAAATGACATTCCAAGTGTGTTGAGCCCTGGAAATACTGCAGGATTCACGGATATGGCTGAAAGGCCTGTATTTGAGAAATTTCCAGGTGATTTTATGCCTGAAAATATGAATTCTTCTGGACTCACTTCCTCGGGATTTTTGCATGTTTCGAGGTTAAATCTGGATGTCCTTATGGAACCCAATTCTGTGTTGGGGATGCAAAAATCTTGAACAGGATCTGGATCTGAAGCTGAGGCTGTCAGAATATGGAAGGATAAGATTGATAAGAAAAAAGCAAGTTTTGGATACATTTTCTTGCCTTTCTTTGGCATTTGAAGCAGACTTAGTGGAAGGATTTATAGCAAGATCTGGCATTTGAATCAGATCACTTTTCTTAATCAATATTATTCGGTGCTATACAATCAAAATCTTACCTAACAAGTCATAAGTGCACAATAATACGAAAGAACAAGTGTGGTATGTGTGTGGGATTGATGCTCACTATCGAACTTCCTAAATTTCTTGTTCTCATTTCGGTAAAATCAATTTTTGTTTCTTGCTTATTCGAACAAGATTTAGCCAACACATCTTGAACTCGAAATTTAGCTAAATAAATATTTTTCCTTTAATAATTTTAGATAAAATGATTCTATCGAAAGTAAAATAGATGTCCAAATTAAAAAAAAAACCCAGCATTTATGTCCAAATAAAGTTATTTTCTTTTTACAATTTAAAATTCTAAACAAAGTATTCAATTTCAAATTCTTAATTACTTAATTGATCTCCTTAATTATTATGTCACAATCAACAAGTTTTACTTTTTTTTGTAGTGGTAGGGTTTGGATGCGTATTAATCTCAAAATTTGAATTGCATAAGACACGCTTTGTCCAGACGATAATTTGATTGTCATAAAGCACACCAGAAAGTCATTATAGCTAATAATTATTTCTAGACTTTATTTGGTAAAAATCGACACATGTGCGGCTCAAAATTATGATTTCTAAATTATTTTATTCTTGATATATAAGTTCTTCAAAATTCAACGATTTGACGTAAAAGTTAATGCAAGAAATTCCATGTGAAAATCGCCTTTTTTTTTTTTCCCTCTTGTCGATAATCATGTTAAAACCACTTTGGTTAAAGGAGATTTAAGGATATAATATAAATGAATTTAAACTTATAGCGTAACGTAAAATGTTGATAAAGATTTAAGTTAAATCTATAATTAATTTTAAGTACATGTTTCATAAGATCCACAATTTTCATCATCATTTCAACTACACATTTCATCAAATTATTTTAAAGTTTATTATAAAATCTGAGTTTTAACTATACAAAACATGGGCTAAATCTATTACTCCTACTCTTGCTAATGAATTAGGAAATGGTGATTGATGATTCATTGCCAATTCCATTGATCGTGTGAAAGGAAAATGTAAAATATAAAGCGAAAAATGTCAACATTGGTCCCTAAAAATACGTAGTTCGATCCTAACAACACCTAGGGGGTGAATAGGTGATTATGCGGAATTAAAAATATTTAACAATTAAATAGCAACAGGTAACTAATTAATTATTTTTCTAGATGATTAAACATGCAATTCAATTAATCCTATCTTGAAATACCGCGGTTATGTAAGCAATAAATGAACACAAGAATTGATCACGGAGAAACCCAATTGAGTGAAAACTCCGGATACTTTGTAGTCAACAATCTACTATAAACTATTTTTAACTTACAATTTACTTGATTAGACGACGAAACGTATTATCTGATCTCCTGACTGCAATTCTAAGAGCTCTCCTGAATTCTGTGCTCCTTTACCAACTCCCAGTTGCAGTTTTCAAAACTTTACGAGATTGCCTCTCCTGCAGCAACTCCAAGCTTTGTGAAATCGTCAATCTCCTGTGAATTCACGAAAAACACCACATTCTTCAATGACTGAAAATCCAGTCACCTTCTCTTGATCTTCAGAAACTCTAACAGATATGTAGGAAGCATCAATTCGGTATTTGGATTGTGAAAAACTGATGTTTTTCATGCCCCAGAACAGATCAATTTAAATAATAAATGTTGAATGTTTCAGAGGATGAAAAGAATATGAAAGCAGTAGTTTTTCTCAATCATCACCTTAGAAAATCGTTCAGAGGCGTTCAAGTATTTATATGTAGATTAAGAAATGAATGGGTCGAACAAAAAACCTTTTAAAAAAACGAAATAAAAAATTTTCGGATGACACTGTCGCTCAAGCGAAAGTGAGGCGACATTCGAGCGATAAGGTTTTTGTTTCTGACGTTTGACCCAAACCTTAGCAAAAAGCTAACGAAATTCCACCCCATTTTTCCTTCTTTCCCATTCTCGAACCCTAGACCTAAAATATCACTACTTATACTAATTGCACACTACTCCTTGATTTTTTACAACATATAAACTTTAATCCTTTTTGTTCACAGAATAGCCAATTACATTAAATACCTAACAAACTCCCATTTTGGCATTCTGTGACAAAACTACAATTTAAGTTAAGGTAGTATTAAAATAAATTATAGACTTGAAACAACGGACACAACCAACGAATTATGCATTTCATTCTTCAATATCTGTTTCTAAAGTTCTCTTAAATTGCGCTCTCCTGCAGCAACTCTCAACTTTTTGAAATCATCTATCTCTGTGGATTCACGAAAAACACTACGTTCTTCAACGAATGGAACTCCAATCACCTTCATCTGATCTTCAGAAACTCTGACAGATATGTAGGAAGCAGCAATTCAGTATTTGGATTGTGAAACTAATGTTTTTCACCCCCAAGAACAGGTCTCATATGGTGTCATATCAGTTTTAGGTCTAAGATAAACCCTGTTAACGATGTGACATGTAGTGTTGATGGCTTTTCCCCAAAAATGTATAGCTAGGTCCTTATCATGAAGCATAGCTCTTGCCATTTCTTGAAGCACGCAATTTTTCTTCTCAAGTACGCCATTCTTTTGTGGAGTGATCGGCGAGGAGAACTCATGTTGGATACCTTCCTCCAAGTATAAATTTTCAAGATTAGAGTTTTCAAACTCTTTTCCATGATCACTACAAATTCGCGATATGGTAAAATCTTTCTCATTCCTAAACCTCTTGCACAATGAGATGATAAGATCGAACACCAAAGTTTTATCTCTCAACGACTCAATTCATGTATATCGAGAAAAATCATTAACCACAACCAAGATATGTCGTTTGCCACCTAAACTTTCAGTTCTAGATGGTCCCATTAAGTCCATATGGAGTAATTCAAGTGACTTGCTTGTCAAAATCTTAGAAGTCTGTTTATGAGGAGCTCTAAGTTGTTTACCTTGTTGACATGGGCTACATACACTGGTATCAATATTTTTAAGTTTAGGTAAGCCATTTACAAGTTCTTTCTTGGCGAGTTTCGACAAACGTTTAAAGTTCATATGACCAAGTCGTTGGTGCCACAGTTCAGTTACATCAATCTTGACACTACTGCACACGTAGTTGGAATTATGAAAAACTCCATAACAATTATCTGAAGTTCTTATACCTTCGAGAACAACATTACCAGTAGAATCATACACAGTACACCATTTTTTTTAACAAAACTAACCTCGAAATCAGCATCACATATTTGACTAATGCTTAAAAAGTTGGACTTTAACCCTTTCACATAAATCGCATCTGAGGTAGCAAATAGTCCACATATAGTAGCGACACCTTTACCAAGTATAGATGCAGTAGCCTCATCTCCAAAAGTATCAACACCGCCATTCCAATCATCTAGAGAAAAGAACAAGGCCATATCACCACACATGTCTAGAACATGCATTGTTAAGATACCACATAGAAATATTTTGAACCTTAAGTGCAATGTGGGCAATATCACAATTCATCTGATCATCTGACTTAGAAAAATCACTCTTCTTAACCCAAACCTTCTTAACAGTAGAAGCGATTCTATTTAACTGAGTCAACATCTTAGTTAATTCGCTAAACTTATTGGCGAGGAAGTTAACCGTGCTCGAGACATCTTGAGTTTTACTTCTAGTCACGAGTTTACGACACCTAGGTCTTGTATGTCCCAGTGTGCCACAATGGTGACAAGTGGGAATAAACCTAGAGTCAAACATGTTCGGCAGTTATCGTCGATAAGTAGGATGACTGACCCTACATTGTCTATTAGACTTCGATCCTAAGTCATTTTTACCCTTTGGTTCAGGATTAACCACATTCCGAGTGTTGTTAGTGGTTGGGACGAACAAGCTATTAGATGTATTCGCAGTAGGACTACTATTATGAACGTAACCCAAACCATGCCTATCTCCAGTAGACTTATTCATCCCCAGCAGATTATCAAGTATCTACAAACCACTCATGAATGATTAGAGTTGAGAATTAGATTTTTCAAGATCACTTGTTAAGGATTTAACTTTAGCTTCCAAGTTTTCATTAACAAGCTTCAACTCACTCAGTCTTTTGGTAAAGTCCTGCATGTCACCGATGAGTTTCTCTCACTCTCTCTTTCAAGTTCATTTACCTTTTTTAGAACAGCTTTATTGACCTTTTTGAATCTTAAGACTCTCCTCAAATAGTTCACGATAAGATTTGTGAATATCATGTTCATCCTCAGATTCTTCCTCAGGTATCTCACTCTCTTCATCACTTTTAAACTTTTCAATTTTCATTTCAGATTCAATCGTAGCTATAGATATGAATGTCATAAAGTTTTGTTCATCTTCACCACTAGAAATATCACTCAGAGTATTTGAATTTGATTCATCATCACTCAAGGTCACTGCTAAAGTCTTACGTTTTTCATTATTTGAACTTTTTTTAAAGTTAGGACATTCATTCCTATAGTAACCGTAACCCTGACACTCATGACATCTAACATATTGAATTTTCTTGTTCGCAGTCGTAGAGTCACTCTCTTCATGATTATCTTTCACGAATTTACTAGGGAATTCATTTTTTCGTTCTTGAGGCTTTCTCCTATTCATCATCACTTTTTGAAATGTTTTAACGAAATAAGTTATTTCGTCGTCCCTAAGCGTCTCAGCATTAGAAAATTCACTCTCTTCTTCTCTAATAGTGTTCATGGTTATAGATTTAACCTTTTTAGGTTGAGAGACAGTAAGTTCATAGGTTTGAAAGGATCCTACGTGTTCTTCAATTTTAACGGCATCTAAGTCCTTGCTTTCTTCAATTGTGGTGACTTTGGGTCTAAACCTTTCATGTAGGGATCTAAGGGCTTTTCTAACTATCTTTGACTCCAGAATCCTTTGTCATAGGTTAAAACTCGAGTTAACTATGTTATTCAACTTCACATAGAGTTTATTGAACGATTAGTTCTTCATTCTAATTTCTTCAAATCTAGAGGTTAAGATCTGTAGTTTAGAATTCTTAATAGTTTTAGTTCCCTCATGTGTGGTTTCTAAGATATCCCAAACTTTTTTTAGTAGCCTCACACATCGACATTCTCCTAAATTCTTGAGGAGACATAGCCATGAACAGGGCATGAATGTCCTTACTGTTCTAATTGTATTAAGCTAGATCATCTTTAGTCCATAATGAAATATCAATGAGCATAACCACACCAGCAATAGTAGTTGAATGTGGAGTCCACCCAATTTGAACACTAATCCAAATACGTTCATCTAAATCTTTAAGGAATGCTCTCATTCGAACTTTCCAGACAATGACTGACTCATCTACTATTTATTAAGGGTCAGAATCGAATTAAGGCTCTGATACCAATTGAAAATACGTAGTTCAACCTAACAACACTTAAATGGGGGTGAATATGTGATTATGCAGAATTAAAAATATTTAATAAACAAATAGCAACAAGTCATTAATTAATTATTTTTCTAAATGATTAAACATGCAATTCAATTAATCCTACTTTGAAATACCGCAGTTATGTAAGTAATAAATGAACA